TTGAGTGACTTTTGAGTTAAAATTCAAAGTTGAGTGACTTTCTGAGAAAGAAGTGCATAGTTGAGTGACTTTTTGAGAAAGAAGTGCATAGTTGAGTGACTTTTGAGTGAAAATTGAAAGTTGAGTGACTTTCTGAGAGAAGAGTGCATAGTTGAGTGACCATCTGAAGTATTAACTCCTTAGTTGGAGTGTTGTTCCAGTTACATGAAACATTGTCCTCTCAGTTGTGGGAGGTATTCCGATGGCTCCAGTAGTTTAAACAATATTAACATGCATCTCATTCAAATCATCCATGTAATTTCGACTGGAACAATATATATTAACATGCATTTCATTCAAATCATCCATGTCATATTGATCGGTGACTAATCATTTACATTACCATGGTTACTCATTGTACTAGACCTGCAAATCAACCAACAACAACACAAAGGTGGTAACACTTCAATTATCCTCAAAACAACTTAAAATAGAACACGATTGTTAGCAATAAAAATACTCAACAAGAGTTGCAGTCGAATCTCACAAAGACTTAAAGCTGAAATGTGATTATGAATTATTCACCGACTTTATGAATTATCAAACACCTAATGATTGCAAGGTTGGTGTGACTTCAATGTATTTGAAAGGAGATGCATTAGATTAACAGTGAAAGAACGATTTATTACTGGGATTAGTTGGTGAAAGTTATGCAGGATACAGACCCGCTGAGTTTTAAAATCCAGATGAGCATCTGTGTCGTATTCAATAGACTGGATCACTGTTTGAGTATAGACATGAATTTGCAAAATGGGCAGCGCGTGCAAACTTGGCCTGAACATTGTTTGCTTTGAGTTTTCCTTAGCGGACTCAAAGAAGACCTTCATGTGGATGTTCGGATTCACAAGCCTCGATCAATTTATAAGACAATGATTTCGGCCTTAGAATATGAAGGAAACAAGGACTAAATAAGTCCAGAACTTCATCATTGGCACTTCCTCTCGAACGACTCGAGAATCCATTAATTTTCAATCATCCCGCCAACTATTTACATGTTCTTTGCCACCGTCATCTTTTCCAAACACTCGCCCATTGAATTCTAAAAAACAAATTCAGCGAAAAAAGGGACTATGCTATAGTTGTGGAGAAATGTTTACCCTTGGTCAACGCTGCAGACCTTAGACTTTTGCACATTTGGAGTTAATGCAAGAGGAAAACCATGTGCAAAGTATTGACGGTAATCAGAACGAAGACATAACCCCTATTGATCAGGAGAAATTTCTTTTCATGCAATTTTAGGCAAAGAATCTTCTTTAACTTTGTAACTTCAGGGCACTCTTTGTGGAAATAAAGTGTTGATGTTGGTAGATAGTGGTTCGACACATAATTTTGTAGCAGAAGAAATTGTCACGAAAATTGGATTGTTAGTCGAATATATCCCTACTTTTGGTGTCCAGATAGACAATGGTTAAACTATCAAGTGCAACCAAGTTTGTCATGATCTGTTAGTAGAGGTCTCTAATTTGGTCATAAATCACGATTTCTTTCCTTTTTCCTTCAATGACTCAGACATGGTGTTGGGTATACTGACTAGCATCCTTGAATACAATACAAGCCAATTTGAATTAGATGTTTCCAATTGAATGAGAAAACTTACAAATGCAAGGTGTTCTTTAAAAAATAGTGACACCATCTTTACAATAAAACCTTGAAGAACAGACGTTACCTAGAGATGCAATATTAAACCTTATAAAGGCAAATTATAAGCACATAGAACTCTCTATTAATATTGTTGATGCTTTTGTTTTACATCTTCAGCCATATGGCCCAGAATCTTTGTTAGCAGCAAAGTTTCTAGATTGTCTCCTTGAGGACAAGTCGTCTTTCCAGGAGGGCGTACTGATAAGACACGTATCTTCCATACTTATTCAAGGAGGAAGAAGCAAACAAAGATACGAGAAGATACTGATTTGCATCTTCTCAAATTACTAGAGGTTTCACCCATGGAGAGATAAGCAGTTTCTTACTATTATTTGGCAGTTTCTTGTTGTTACTAGAAGTTATCTATTTTTATCCTAAATAGTTATAAAGTAGTTATCAGTTATCTATTATATAATAGGATATCTAATAAATTAATAGACAAATGGTAATCATATATATATATAAAAGAAAATCTTATTGTCGCCTACGTAGCAGCTCCCCCATCCAGAAAACCCTTCCACTTTAATATATTTCCTAAATACCCTTCTTTAAATGATCCCCCACAACAGAAACCTCTTCAACCCAAACAATCTACCATTCTACTTTCTCTTTCTCCATTTTGACACAAAGCGTCCTATCATTCGGAAACATCCCCCACAACAAACGCCTCTTCAACCCAACCAATCTATCGTTCTACTTTCTCTTTTTCCTTTTCGACACAACGCATCCTATAGTTCAGAAACATCCAGTCATTCTGCCTTCTCTGAAACGACACGCCTCATCATCAACGGTTCCAACCTCTCTATAAAATGGCTAGCACCCTTCGTAGCATCTATTCTCCATCATTTCTTTCTGTCTTTCCGACTACAAATACAAAAAAAAATTCTACTTTTTTGCAAAGAAATCTAAATATAGACTATTCACTTCTTTCTGATTTGGATGCTACTCGCGATGACTGGCTTATTAGAGTCCGAGTCTACCGGCTGTGAGAATTTTTTAATTACAGGCGCAGCCCAAACATGATAAGCCTTGAAATGATACTAATTAATGAAAAGGTATGCATCATTCACATCCTTCGCTTTTCAATTTTTAATCTTCTTATTAGGAATTGTCTTCCACAATGACTTCTCTCAGGGAACTTTGATGCACGCAATAATCTGGAAGAACCAAGTTAATAAGTTTCCTGATAAGTTGAGTGAAGGATCTGCAGTCATTATAAGAAAGTTTAGAGTTTGAGAATTAACCGGTGACTACATACAAGTATAGTCGAACTTTAAAATAACATTTTTATGGAAAACTGTCATCCAAAAACTACAGGATGATATTGTCCATATCTCTCAGAATGGTTTTCAGTTTATTCAACTAGAAATTATTCTCTCAAGGATCAACAACAACATTAACCTGTCAGGTATATTTATTCCTTTCATTTATGTTAGAAGTTGTGTGCACCGTATAAAATGAATAATTCCCCTCCCTAACTTGTAGATGTTATTGGATGCTTATGCGGAATTGGTGATGTAGAAAGTGTGGTTTCAAAATGGCAGAAGCGCAACATACACATTCTTACCAATCCGTAGTTTTAGTAAATCATTTACGTTCTTATTCATTCATCCCCAAATTGCAACATTAAAAATCATATTGATTCACTGTCTAATAAATTAGACTTATCTTTTAGGGAGGACCTGACTATAAAAGCTAGAATAACTTTGTGGGAGGACCATGGCGAATCATTTTACCCCTATGTATATCCCAACGACTCTGGACCGTATATTTTCATTGTCACTTCTACAACGGTTAAAG